CTGAGTGGCAAAGGGATCCAGACGGATTAAAACCAGTGACCTGTGATAAACGCCTTCAGGCCGTTACCCAGAAATCCCAGCATAACTCAGCCTCAGGCAGATTATCGGTACTTGGAGGCTGGATGTGACCCACACAGGTCCAGATGTTTGGAACCAGTCTGGATCCTGGTTTGATCCTGCTCAACTAGACGTGTCAGAGCTTCAGCCTTTAGCAGGTCAGCGCTGTCCAGCCACCATCATGCTGATGAATGCTGTAAAGATGTTCGCTATTACTGGATATCTTATCCTGGCAGCTCTGAATGTTTGTCGAATCCTGAGAGGCGTGGCCATCAAACGACAAATACAGCAACTTCAAAACAGGTATGTTGGCAAAGCTGGGTGCAGTTTGGATGAAGTATCTGTGGAAGCAACTATGAAGCATGTATCTAAAGGAGAACCAAAGAAGAAGGGGTCAGATAATAGCTTCTAGTGTTTGTCTTCCATGTCAGAGCTTCACCAGAACTCGGGTTCAGAACCAAACAGACTATAGAGGCATGAAGGTGTTGCTAAATAATTTCTGCTGAATGGAGGTTTGAGCAAAGCTTCATTTCCATGTAAAGTTTTGGAAACTGAATAAGGATCAGTGAATCAACGAAGTTCTTCTGAGCAAATCCTCTGAATGCAGAGGAAATCTGATCCTTTGGAATCTTCCTCACTTTTCTGATCTGCTTCAGTCCAGTTTTGGTGTAAACATCGGCCCCTGGCTCCTGACTGCCAGGCGTGGCCCTCTGGCGCCCTCTGCTGCTGTAATCCCGGGGCTGCAGTCTGCTGTGCTTTCAGGGACACGTTCCTTTGAAACAGTGGTTATTTAGGCTCTTTTTATCCTTTTCTTCATGTGGTACCAGGCTGAACAGCCTTCTCTGAGCTCTGAAACCAACAAGGTTGTTTCTGCCAACGGTTCCCAGTTTAGGTACTGGTCAGATTAATAATCACCATCCAAACCAGTTGGTCAGGTCTGGTCAATCTTTCCTTTTCTGTTTGGTTCATTATGAGCCTAAATATTTCTGAGATCTAACGATGATCCCTGAAGAGTTCTGTGTTTCTGTGATGTTGGTTATGATGAGGTTAAATGACCTGATGTTACGGCTAATGGCCCTGCACCAGAGATCAGCATCATTTCACTAAAGACACACTAAATAATTATGCATCCAAAAAATGACTGAGCTAAGATGAGAAATTGGTTTAAGGCTACTAAGGAGAAAAATATAAAGCTCTGTGACAATTCTGGTATTAAAAAAAATAAACCACATAAATAACACAACTGTAAAAATTAAATAAAAAATGCAGGCACAAGAACCTTTTTTATTTGCTAAATATTTTGAACATAAACACTACAAAACTAATCCTGACTGCAGATACTAAATAGTTTAAACCAGGAAAGTAACAATAAATACTGTCTGCTGTATATGAATCAGAGTCTACATAGAAACAGGAATACTGGTTTTAAACTCGTCTGTGTGAGTCTGATATATCCTAGTTTCGCTTCCTTATTCATGTAAAGAAGAGAGGATTTGACTCAAGTCAAGGTAGCAATACTTCCTAATGATACTCAGGTAAAAGTAAAATGTATGGGAAACTAATACTACTCCCAAAATTGGAAGCTTTTTGTAAAGAACCAGCTTTAAAATCAGAAAGGGAAAGAATGAAAATACACCTGAGCTTACTTTGGTTAAAGCTATAAGCCCTCCTGTAAGACAGGTGGAGCTTGGTTCTTTCTACTTGCATAAAAAATATTATTTTTGTGAAAAGGAAATGAAAATTTCCAGACTGTGCATTACTAAGACAAAGTTAAATGATAATAGTGGACTTAAATCAGCGGCCAGCATAAAGAAAAACATAAAATTGATCATCAAGAGGGTACAGCTGCAGGTTGCATTAATCCTCTCTAAATATATACACTTAAAAAAACTTTAATTAACATAATGACTGCACTGCTTTAGAGATTAGATTTTCAATCTCATCAGAGATCATCTGCTGTAGCTTGAACTATAAACCAGGACTGCTGCTTCAATAAGCAGCTCATCCATCACTGTCAAGGTTAATGAAACGGCTAAAAGCTATGCATATGGTATGACAACGGAAAATGTCCATCAGCCTTTAAATTCACTTAGTTATCTTTCTGAATGAAAATACCATCACAGATTTCACTCATTTCAGTTCTGTCATATTTGCTGTTAGTTAAATCCAGATTCAGTGATGCTGACTGACAAACTGGTGAATCAACGAGCAGATGTGGACCAGATCAGCCAGAGCGAGAGCAGAAGC